AAAACTATCAATAAGTGCAGAGAGAAGAGTTATTATATTATTTAAATTATTTATTGAGAAAGAGAAAATCTACTTATTTTTCTTACAGATATATTTGATGTTGGTGGTGGGGGTATATGAGCTGTAGTTTGGTTAATCATTTCTGGATGACTTGGAGGTTTGGGCAAAGCTTTTGATCTTATAGGAACTTCAGAATTATATCGATAACAACAGCTGACAAATTAATGGCTCTATATAACTGTAGGACTTCTTTTCAAGCACAGGAATGACATCCCACCGCTTTGTTCTTTTTCGATAAGTCCTGTGACTTTTTGGCTCACCAAATTCATTAACTGCCTGTTTCCTCCCCAAATGGCTATTGTGATCTATTGCAGCCAGAAAGATACGTAATAGATATCCTTCATCCCTTTTAAGAAACATTGATAAAATACAAGCTAAAAACTAGAAAAACTTACTTAAATGATGTTCTTTTGTCACAGTAGGATAAGATCAATTTATGAAATGCTTCTAAAACTCCAGTATGCCTGTTGTAAGTTCATGCAAGACAAATTTTTAATAAATAACATAACCCATCAGAAAAAATGCTTACCTAAATCATACATAATATTTTAGAGATTCTATCCATTTCTTGTCCAACACCAAATTCTTTAGTGCCTCGATTTCCTGCCCACAACTATCGAGATATGGAATAACATTACCATCAGAATCTGTAGGTGCTTATTTTGATTTATCTCCTTAATTCTCATCTATATGATCACATTTACCAGTAATCCAATCATGTTCATCTTGAATATGATGAAGTATACTAATCCATTTACTCTACATTAAATACTTTGTATTACTTTAGCTACATTTAATAAATATACTTTAAGTAATTCCTCTTTCTCATCACATGTTTCACAGCAATACCAGAAGTGGTTATACATTTTGTCAATCCGTTTAGCCAGAGTCTCCATTCCTTTTTTCTTTGTTAGCTGTGAGTAGCTCGAAAATTTATGCAACAATTATGAGACCTATACCTCACACAAACTTTTTTTCAACTTTTTGGCTTTGTGCCACACATCTAATGAATGTAAAATGTTGGGGTGCGATGTTCCTATAAGGTTGGATAATCTAAATTCAATTGTAAAGCATTTTATTTACCTAAAAATGATATTACAGATATAGATGCATCTGTAGTGATTTCTTTAATGTTGACATTGCTTTCCTTTAAAAACGAAACACTTCTTTTTAATCCTTCTCGCTCCATATTTGGAGATTTAAGATTAACCTCACGTTTATCCACTGTTTGACAATCTACATTAGCTTAATACACTATATCAAGCACATAGAATATATACCTAGTATTCTGCCAGTGCTCGACTCCATTAAAGTATAGGTGCAATATTTAGCAGATGAGCCTGGGGAGTCACACCTACCATCACCACAAAAAATAACTTCTTTGCCTGAATAACTAAAAT